ATCCTTTTTTAAACATTTGTTGGAATTTGTTAGAAGTCACCAGTTGATGCTGGGATTTCTTTAAGGCGTTTTGATTACTCATTCAATCACTTGTTATGGGTCTGTTTGATTTTCTGTTTATTCTTGAGCCAATTTTTGTAGCTTGCAATTTCTAGAAATTCATCCATTATAACCTGATTATCTAATTAGCTGTCATACAATTGTTCATAAAATTCTCATAATTCTTTTTATTTAAGTTCAGTAGTAAGTCTTTTCATCCTTCTTAATTTTAGTAATTTGAGTCTTTTCTTTTTTTTTAAATTTCTTGTCAATCTAGCTAAGGTTTGTTAATATTATTGGTTTATTAAAAGAATCAACTTTGGTTTGGTTTTCTCTGTTGTTTTCCTAGTCTCTTATTAAATATTTTTTCTAATATTTTTATTTCTTTAATTATGCTTGCTTTGGGTTGTTAGCATTTCCTTTTCCAGTTTCTTAAGGTGAAAGATTAGGTTACTTGAGATTTTTCTTTTTTTAATATACTCAGTTAATTTTCCTTGTAATTTCTTCTTTGACTTATTATTTAGGAGTATGTTTAATTTTCTCACATTTATGAATTTCCCAATTTCACACTATTATTTAAAATTTAATTCCTTTACTGTCAAAGACTATACTTTGTATGATTTCATTATTTTAAAATTGTTTGAGCTTTGTTTTGTGGCCTAACATACAGTCTATTCTGGAGAATGTTTGATGTCCACTTGAGAATAATGTATATTCTGGTGTTGCTGGGTGTAGTCTATAGGTATTTGTTAATTCTAGTTGGTTTATATGTTATTTAGTCTTCTATTTTTTTGTTTGCCAATCTTCCGTCTAGTGTTTCTGTTCATTATCGGAAAGCAGTAGTAACAAATGCAATACTAGTAGCAATAGGAATAATACCTTATTTGTCTTCATTAACAAGTATTTTATACACATGATCACTTTCAAGTTACTGTACATAAGTAAATTCAATCTTCAGTGTTACCAGACTGAAGATAACCATATTTTTCTTATCTTTTTATCCTCAAAGCTAGGCAGACTGTGGCACATAGTAATTGTTTAAATTAAATATAATGCTTACTGAGAAAATTCAGTATGAAATAATGGCATCTGGGAAAATTTTACATGATCAGTAACTGTAAATTTCACAGTACTTAGAGAGTTTACATTTTCTTCTTTGATTTATGTTGAATATTACGGAATATTTCTATATCATTTGTAAATTTTTGTGACGTGTATATTGACTATAATAGTCAAAATTTTAGTTCTAATATCTCAAATGATTATAGAAATCCATTATGTAATGAGAATTTCAACATAATCCAAGAAATATCTGTTGACAGCTACTGTGTTCTAAGGCACTATGAAAAGCACTAAATTACTGTTCCTTCTAGGTGAGGAGATGAGCCATTGATAATGTGTTCAATTTCAATGATAATAAAACGTCATAGAACATTTTGATCATTTATAAAATGTCTCTAAGTAAAGACCCTTTATATGAATTAATGCATTGTACTCTGTGTTCTTCTTTAATACTTTTAATGCACTAATACTTTTAACACTTTTAATATACCAATACTTTTCAACGATATATGTCATTATTCAGGACCATGGTTATTGAATGATCAAATATTATAATTGAAATGGTGCATATTCATCTTCAGTTACTAATTAGGTAAGAGTGGAATGCATTCTCAGTTTCATTTAGTTGATCTAGGGTACTTTGCCTAGCTTTAACCTAATTAACTCTAAAAAACTGTTGACCTTTTTTCATCTCAGTTTCTTTAATCCTAGACTGAAGAGATTACTTAGTAACCAGTATGGTCAAGAGAAAAAACAACAACAACAAAAAACCAGTGAATATTTGATTAGTTAAGTTTGAATAACTCTGGTTTTAGAAAAGTTTAACATATTTCTTTTTGGGTTTGTCAGGTTTTATATATTAATATGTGTTATTAATTTCTACAATGTATCACCATAATAACCTATTTTATATGAACTCCTCATATATCACTGGTTCCAATGTGGATATATGAATCCCAAGAACTGCCGAAGATGTCCCATTATGATAAAGAAATGTCAGAATACCTATTTCTATTTACTTTTTTTTGATGTTGAAAAGTAAGAAGAAGAAAGAAAAAAATATATAGTATTTAGCACGTGGATCTATGCTTTTGCCCTCTCTAGGTCCCTATATGAAGATTCACATATCATTTACAGAAATGGGAAAATGACTTTAAAAAGATTACTGCCATGAGCCATAGATTGATAATCATACCAATAAAAATCAGTGTTGTATTGAGTTCTCCTGGTGGTTCTTTATGTTTAGGCAGTTTGGGAAAATAGTAGTTTAGCTATAATAATATATGTTAAAGGACATACCAGAAAGAGAAATTAGATGCTGATAATGAAACAAGAACCTGTTGAGTCAATAAGGTATAATAAATGAAGGCAGTGGAAGAATAAGCAAGCATAGCAATAAACAGGCGAGAACTATTGGCATTTTTTTAATCCTAAATATAGTTGAAGTTTAATTTTCTCTCAAAGTCCATTGGAGTATTGGTGAAGTCATTCCTTGCAGTCATTCAGGATCTTAGATTAGCAGAGGCTGTATTGTGTGCAGCACTTGGCTTTCATTGTCTTCTTGGACATTGACGTCCAGTACATGAATAGGAGAAGAAAGGGAATGTGTGAAGAATTGTGTGGGAGATTTTTGTACTTTAAGCCTGAACTGGTGTACAAAACTTGTACCAAGCTGACATTCCTAAAATAAATCCCACTTGACTGAGGTGTATTATCTTATTTATATTCAGCTACATTCAGTTCACCGATATTTTGTTTAGAGTTTTAGTTTCTATGTTCATAAAAGACTGGTCCATAATTTTCTTCTCTTTAAATAATGTCTGTAGATTTTAGTTTAAGAGATATGATGTCCTAATGAAATACATGAAATATTCCCTTTTCTTATTCTTGGGAAGATTTTGCGTAAGATTTCTGTTACCTCTTTCTTAAATGTTTATTAAAATTCACCCGTTAAGTCATCTGGGCTTAGAGATACTTTGGTTGGAAGTTTTTTTGTGTTTATTTTTTAAATTAATATTGCTTCAATTTCTTTAACACATATAGGACCGTTCAGATTTTTAATTTTATCTTTCAGTTTTGGTAAATTGTATTTTTTCCTAGCAGTGATTTCATTTCATCTAAAACACATTTATTGATATAATATTTTGTGATATATAATCTCTTTTAGATATATATGTTATGTAATATCTTGAATTCGTGCATGGTGTTGGATATTTGTGGTTTTATTTTGTTTCATTATTTTTATCGTCTTACTACATTTCAGTTTTTTTCCTTTCTTTTGGAATATTTTTAAAAGATTCTTCTGTTACATGCCTATTTGATCTTTTTACTCTATTTCGTGTCTTCTTAAAGTTTTGTGGGTTTTTTTTTTTTTTTGGTATTTTCCATCTTTTTTTTTTCTTTTTGTTGTAGTCTCTGTTTTTTTCCCCCCACTATCTTTCGGTTCTCTAATGCAAATATATGCAGGAAATAGTCCTTTTTTTCCCCCTATTTTTGGGAAGATTTTGTTTAAGATTTCTGTTACTTCTTTCTTAAATGTTTATTAAAATTCACCTGTTAAATTATCTGGGCTTAGAGAATCCTTGGCTGGAAGTTTTTTTGTTTGTTTTTTAAATTAATTTTTATTGTGCTTCATCTACTGTGTCTCTCATCCTTTGAGTTGCTAATGGTACATCTTTCTCAGCTGTAGAATTTCTATTTTATGAATTCCAGTTCTCTAAATGAAAATCTCTATTCTATCCATATTCCCTATTTCTCTTTTTTTTTTTGAACATATTAATTATACATATTTTAAACTCTTTGATAACTAAATCACCTGAATCACCTATGGGCCTTTATCTGTCTTTTCTGTTTTCTTTGGTGTCATCTACTGTCATCTCTGATAATTTTGTATTGAAAGCTGTACATCGTTCTTGGAACATTTGAAAGACTCTATAGAATGTTAACATTCTCCAAAGAGTTCATCATTTCCTTAATCCAGTGGTTCTCTAACCTTCTTATGTATATAACTATTGGTATGTATTTGTAAACCAAAATTAATTTTAGACTGTAATAAAGAATAAAAAGCATTTATTTGAGCAAAAGGAGCTACAGACTGAGAGACACAAAATCAGGTAGCAAATTAAATTGTGTTCTCCCTAGACAAAGGGGAGGCCACTTTTTATAGTGAAAGTTCCCACTCAAGTTTCTAATTAGGTCCGTTTTATGAAAATGAGGTATCTAAATTTGCGCAATTCTGATTGGACAAGGCAGGTCTTATTGGTAGAAAGATGATACCAGGGTTTCCTTTGCAGTGGTTAACTCAGATGGCATAAACACAGGAAAACAAATGGGGAGTTGAGAGTTCAGTCTGAGATTCTTCCCAGGTATACAGTGTATGAGGAGCCGCTGTCAACTAATAGCCCCTAGGCTCTTATTATTCATAAAATGTTGGCCCTTGATTGACCATGTAGAGTCCATCTCAGCTGATAAATTTTTTCTCGGGGTTCACATCAAATGACTGTTTCTTCTTGGGGTCCACATACGTGTTACTGGAAAAGTAATAAAAAAAAAATGTAGAGCTATAGGCTTGTCGAAGTAACAAGGGCCTCTGTCTCTTCATCCAGGGCCAGAATTGCCAAATGACCCAAGGGATAACACCATCGCCTTGAGTGATCTCACCTCTCAGTGTGGTTTTCCTTTCTCAGTTATTGTTTCTATTTAATTTCTAATCAACACAGTCTTTCCTAATGCTTTTAGATAGAGTATTTTTTTTTTAAACAGCTTTTCTCTGTTTTCAGCTGCAGCATTGGTGTTTTCACAAACCACTCAATTATGTATGGTAGCAAAAGTCAATGGTTTATTATTTTGTAAACAAAAGAACAAGTCATGGTTTCATTTCTTTCTTTCTTTTTTTTCAGGAAAAACATAATGGAGAATTGGAAGACATGAGGAAAGCTGGTCATGAAGCCCTCAGCATTATTGTGGATGAATATAAGGTAGAGAATTGAGAGTCTGTTTTCTTTGTTCTTTTAAACTTCAGCAAACTTTATTTAAAAATTAATATGTAGGCATATGCAAACATGCACAAATTATAAAATTATAGTATATTCTTATTTAGGTATAGAATTTCTTTCAGTTGACCAATAAGTGTTCATTGAAAGCATACTTGGTAAATTACAGAGGTAATGCTAGATGCTGCTCTGAATTTGAGAAGTTATAGAATATTTGAGAATATAGGATTGGCAGCTGAAGTTTGAAAATTATATCACATCCCGTGATATAATTTTGATTTATTTTTATAAAAATGTTTTTCTACTCAATCTATCCTTTTGTTTCTTGCTGTATTTGCTCAGTATGACTTAGAGATATTTTCATGTCAGAATATATACTCACCCTCTTTTTGTCACTGTTCTATGTAGTATTCCACCATAATTTGTTTAAGTATACCTATATAGATAAGCATTTAGTTTCTTTTTGATTGATTATTATTATACTAAATTTTTGAAAAATTTTTCTACCACATGTGGAATATAGAAATTTTTTGTTGATTAAACTTTATCCCTAGACTTGATAGAAAGTAATGTAATTTTAGTTAGGTGGTAATTTAATGTCAGAAAGCTTCCAGTAGCACATCATTTGAATAAAAGTAGGAAAAAAAGTAGATCCAAAATTAATTTAAGTAAAAATCTCCCCCAACCCTAACATTAAGGTATTAAAATAGTCTGGTAAATATGTCTTGGGACATGAAAGGTCATTTGTGTGACTACACCCAATATAGAAATTGGTGCCATTGGTGAGAAGGTCATTAAAAAATATCTGTTTTTTATAGTTGTGATTATTGGCTCTTTTCATAACGTTGTGAATTTTTAGTTCTACTGATATAAACTAGCTTTACAGTTATTGAGTTAGGTGACAGTATAGGATCTATTTTGAACCATCTTCTTTTTATTCCTGAAACTAAGGTTAGGAAGAATTAAAATACTGAAATTTACATAATCATCCTTGAGTAGTATTAGGTGATATATTCTAAGATGAATTTGTATTTTACCTATTTTTATTTATACTTTCTATTTGTTTTATTTTTTAAAACAAATTTTGGCATATAATTTATTTTTTAATTTTAATTAATTAATTAATTTTTTATGGTGACATTGGTTAACGAAATCTAATAAGTTGCAGCTGTACACTTTAACAGTAAGGCACATATATATTTACACTGCGTGTTCACTTCCCATAGTTAGATTTCTTTCTGTCACCACATATTTGACCTCCTTTATAAATTTTAAATATAATGTTTTGAAAAGATATACATTGTGTGTGTGCTTATATGTGTTTCTGGACAGCTCAGTATTTGATATATTAAATCCTTTTTCTGTTCTAGCTCTATGTATTTCCTTTACTGAAAACATGTTTACTGTGTATTACTTTCAATATTGTCAACTATTATGGTTAAAACCATGTGTGAAAACTTTGCAAATATATTTTGCAAATTTCATTTTGAAGAAATTTGGTTGAGAGCTACTCATTTTACCACTTCTTTATCTAGTGTCATTATTTGATATTCATTTAAAAAGAGAGGATTTAAAAGGCATTAGGTATTATGATTTGTCTGAAAGGACTGGAAATCAAATCAAATACCCTGCAAAGTTATATTTCATTTGTCATATTATACGTATAGTCAGTTTTATGCAAACTACATAAATTCCTTTATAGCAGGGAACCTTAGTTTAAATACATTTCATATAGATTTCCATATTGATTTAGTGATGAGTGTCCCATTTTGCACAATATTACAGTACTCTGAGGAAGAATAACATCTAATATGTTAATTATCACATAAAATTTTATAACCCAGGTGTTCTGAAAGCATACTGAGAATCAACTTCATAGTAGTATGTGTAAAAAAATAAAGTAATTTAGATAGAGAAAATAGGCCGTGTTTTCCTGATAGATTAGATTTTTTTATAATTTAAGAGTTGATGACCTGTGTCCCATTATGGAACAAGAAAGAATTTTTTTCCCATTATAAATTCATGCATGAGAAGTTTATGTCATCATTATTTTATTATGCTTCTCTTTTTTAAGACAGCAACTTGCTTTTCATTAATATCTTTTAAAGCTTTATTTTGTTACGGTATATAAACATTTAGATGGATGATCCATTAATCATTAGGTAACTCAAAAATAGAACTTCTAATTACTATTGCTAACAGAAGTTGTGTGAATATTCTCTTTGCATTTATTCATTTCTTAATCAAGAAATATTATTGACATCCTTCTTTATGCCAGGGACTGTAGATACGGCACTGAACAGAATAGACAATAAAATAAATACCCCATACACACACCTGTGCATACACACATACTGGAAGTGTATGTGCATAAACAGGAAGTAAGGAACTTAAAACCGTAGCTTTCCTTGATGTTTTGGTTTTCAGGACTTCACACTTTTATTTCTTCTACCTGTACAGATTTTTCCTCAAATATGGAACTGGACTAGAGAAATCTACCTTCCTACCATCATTCTTAACTTCTAGAGATCTGACATATCCTGGACTAGATATGATCAATCATTTTTCCCCCTCCAAGTTGAGCCGAAACATTATTGAGGAGTCTGAAAAAAGATTTCATTAGAAAAGATAGTAAAACATACCACATAAAACAGAAATGACAAAAGCCTAAAAAACAATGTACAGGAAGATGCATTATTTGTGCATTAACCCCTGCTTTCAGATGTGTGAAGTAGACATTTTCCCCCCATTCTTCCTATTAAATGCCCCTAAAAAAAGAAGGAAAGAAAGAAAGAAAACCCTGGACATTACGTATGAAACAGATATATAAGACTTTGAAAGTTTGTCAGAAGAAGGCAGATTGGCTAGAGACCTTGGGATCCAAGTAAGTAACTACATGATCTGGATTCCTGGGTTTTCTTTTTGCTTCATTTGCCCTAGACTTGGTACTGGAGAAGTGAAAAATCCAGGCATACCAAATGGGCACAGACAACAAAGCCCAAGAAAAGCCTGTTCTCTCTACCCATCCAATAAGACTGAAAACTACTGGATAAAAACAATTCTACCACCAAACATAGTAGAATACACTGCAGCTCCACCCCCAGCCCTGCCAACATAGGCTAGTTAGAGAACCTAGGCTTTCATCCTCATCAGGCTGTAATGAGGTACTCTTCTTCTTCTCCACTGGGGCATTGTCAAAAGGGCTGACTGGAGATCCAGGACTTTAGGTCCCACTGGGCAGTAATCCCCTCCCCCTTGAGTGTCAGGTAGACTATATAGGAAACCTAAACTTCCACCCCACCCTGGAGTTGATGAGACACTTTCCCCTTTCCCTGTTGGCAAGATCTGAAGGAATATTTAATGGAGAGTCAGGACTTTCATTACTGCTCAGAAGTAATAAGGTGACTCCTCTGCAGTATCAGCGTAGGCCATTTAGGGAACAATAAGGTGGCACCCTCGCTCCTCCTAGCCAGAGTGATATCAATAACGTTCTAGTGGGATGCTGAAATGCCAACCACGTGTAACAATAGTGAGAAGGTCCTTGTTCTCTCTGCCCTGTGTGTCAGTAGACAATGAGTCAGGTACCTGGACCTCTGTACCTG